ACGTCCTTGGCGCTCGAATCGTTGTTCTTGTCTATCGTCTTGGCCTTCGCCCGGCTTCGTCCTGTTTGCTTGGGGAGATCCTGGATTTCATCGACTGACGCCAGCTCGGGGCGATCCTCCATGACAGAATCATCTCCTCCAATCGATTCACGAGTTGCCACAGCCTTCTTTGCCCGAGCTCTTCCTTTCATCTTTGGACGTCCGGCGATTTGCTTTTCGATCTCCTTCGTGTCGTCCTCGACTTCTTCATCCATCCCAGTATCCTCGGCGCCTCCCATCGTCTCCTCGAGAGTCTTTTGGATTTTCTTGGGTCTGCCTCTGCCGCGCTTGGCCGGCGGAGGTGAGGACGGAGCGGCGGCGGCGCGCTTTGTGCCTCTCTTAGGAGCTGGTGAGGCCTTAGCCTCCAGAGAAGATCGTTTGCCTCGCATGGCGAAGTTCTGTGGACTATCTCTGTGGTCAGTTTCTGGAAGAATTCGAACATTGCGCAGAAGTTAATGGGCTGAGGACGCAAATCGCCCGACTTGAGAACTGCGACGAAAGGCGATTGCGCGCGAAGCCGATGCAAATATTTACTGACCTTAGCCTGCAGATTGGAGAGCTTGATGGGTTCTTTAGAGTCCAGATGGTAATCGATCCGTGTTGCTGACGTGCCAGATTCGATTGACAACTTTGGCAGCATTGGTCTGATGATGAGGTTGGGTTTAGACGAAAGCTTCCTGTTTGACAAGCTTCGCTTAGTAAGAGACGCGAAAGCGCGATCACCGCGTCTATGACGCTGATATATCACGTGATGCACGAGCTCAATTTGGGAAGCTCTTTAATGTTTTGGAAGACATTCCCTAAATTCTGTGAGAGTTTTCCGTACTCAATACCTCCCTTATCCCATCTTCAGATAACGCGAAACATGTTTTCCTTCACCCCTCTTTTCAGGCCCACTGCTTTGCCACCCTCGTATTCCACCCCAGCGCCTCCTCCCTCCCCTGAAATGCTCTCCAGCCTCAATTTCAGCTCTTCATCTTGCTCCAGTACTGTCTTTTGTCGTTTCGGTTTCTCTCCCTCTTCCTTCGGCTCTTTCGCATTTGTGGTTGGTTCCGTAGATTCCTGGCCCTCCTGCTTTTTTCCGCTCATCGCGTTCGTGTCGAAGAATTTACGAGGCGACTATTGAAAATTGGAGATCAGCCTCCGTAACACTCGGAATTTTCAGAGCCAAGCCACGGATTCCAAGATGTCCGCACATTTAAGTTCCATATCCCTAATGGAGCCTTTGTTATGATTCTCTGTTTCGACATCTGCAAGCGAGAATTGAAAGTGGCATCGAAGATGGGATTCATGCGGGCTTCATTCTCATATTTACGGTAGATTTACCGTTCCATTACATCGGCTGATCTTCTCCCGTTATTAGGCCACCTGTCACGTGACATCAGAAGCCGTATCACTGGCTGGCAAGATAGAGCCTGTTCTGCACCATCGTGGCAGAATGGCCTCTACCTTGCTATAGAACACCCGGTATGCTGGCCTGTGTCTTTACTGTATAGTCAACAGTACCCGTTCCCCCTCCGGCCTTTTCTTCGTTAAGGCCAGAAAATTTTGAGCGAGAATATCGCGCCTGTGTCCAGTCTCCTTTGGAATCCAAGCTGCATGGCAGCGACTCAACGGCCCGCTCTTTCCCAATGCGGCGTCAGAATTCCTTACCCACTTTGAGACCCGCATGACGATGGAACGCAAGATCTGTCTCGAGAACCAGATATCTGCAACTAAGGACGTGCTTTTGTGTATAAAGTATAAGACGTACGTCCTTTCCTATTGTGTTAGTATAGGTGTGACCTTCTGTTTCCCTACTTAATTCTCATCTTTTTCGCTTCTCTAATGTCTTTTTGTGCTGCATCTCTGGGTAGTTGTATACCCAAACTCGGCCGTTGGCAAGCGCGTAGCAAACGCGCAGCAAACACCCCCCCCCCGCGTAACGAAATTCATTGCTGCGATTCAACCTATCGTTGTCAAAGCTTATACTGCTTTTGTAGATCAATATTCCAGGACGTTGCAGAACTTAAAGAAATTATATTGCAGATACATCCAAGTAATAGACTTGATAGTCTACTACGTATACCATGAGGGCTTGAAAGGCTGAAGAGTGTATTGATCCAGCAAGCGCGGCATGAGAGATCAATTCATGACTTGGAATGGTTGTTTTATAGCCTCGTGTGGAAACCTCGTTCATGAGTTGACTTCTGTCCTGTGATGTGACTGTAGTAACTTCTGGATGAGTAGCGTAGTATTGTGTGATTAGGAGTAATTCTTTGCAGTCAAAAAATCAGGGCTTGTCCCCATGTCTGGGTGTTCGGGTTAGCTTGTACCTTGGAGCTTAGCTTGTAGGATTTATAGCACTTGTATGGTTCTCAGTGCGAGTGGGAATAACCCAACGACTTCACAATCAAAGCTTATTTCTAGCATCGCCATACTATGGTGCCTCGCATTTGATCATGATCACCACTCGATTCTCATTCAATTTCCTATCTTTTCCTGTGGCATATAACACTGCCTCTACTCCTAGTTTCCCTAGTCTCCGATGTTCATCTAGGTAAGAATGCAACCACAACGGCTAGAAAAGTTTGGAATGCGGGTGCGGGCTCATATGTTCATATGGGGATCGTCAAGGTGTGCAATGTCCAGAGTAAGCCAGGAAAACGCGTTTCTGATAGCGGATCGTCATTACAGCAGTGTCACAGTCACCTGAATTTGGATGTCAAGGGCCCAACTGCTGTCGGATAAAAATCCTTTGTTGAGTTTGTACTCAGGCCAGCCCTCCCATACCCCGGTATCACCTGTGTACTTCTGTGGCGTCTGCTCACTCTTGGTCTGACGTCTTCTTTGGATTCAAACGGATACTCTTCACCGCTTTCGGGTCCGTCGTCTTCCCCTTGTTTCTCTCCGGGTTTTGGATTTGGCCTACGACTCATCCCAAAACCCTGATTCGAGTTCTTAAATACTGCCATCAGGAATCTTATCGGCATATAACCTCTATATTCCCGTCTCATAAGTAAGCCTTAGTCTGAGACTTTGTAAAACCATTTCATGTCTTCCTTAGTAGCTTTCTCGTATGTACGCAGGGCTTCCTTTATGCCAATTTTGCCAAGCCATAGGCGAATCAGTTCAGCACTACTCCATCCTTCCTAACTTGTCGCAGAATTGCATATTCACGCTTCAATGAGCCTGGGCATAGTGATAGTAATGATAATTGAGTGGGACCATCACTTCTCTATCTTGCCAATATGAGAAGTAGCCATCATTGTACGGTGTCTAAATTCAGCTCCGAGCGCACCTAAAGTTCTCAAGTGGCCCTTTCACCTTACTCGCTCGGTCCTATCAAAACGAAAATTACTTCCTTCGCTTCACTTCATAATAGTCAGACTCTATGGCGAGACCGCCATTTCCAGAACATACATTTTCATAATGAGAGTGGGCTAGTTTCGGCTCTCAGAATCAGACCTTGATACCGATCTCATTTCGTGCAAGTGTCAATATCATCAGCTCACTCTACCCTGACCCATCTACCCCGTTAGGTAATCAATGACCTCTCAATGCTCTCCCAGAAACATACAAAAGCTCCTACAAATTATCTTGGACAACCCTACTGGAGCAAGAAACGAGCTATGCTTGAATCGAATGAATAAGTCCTAAGCCTGGCGCGCAAGAACGTCTCTCTGTATCGGCCAGGAATGCCCAATCATGCGACGTCAACACGGTGTTTGTCTTTTAAAGTGAAGGATCTTTCATTATTGGCAGCTATAAATCCAGGAGCTACTGCTGCCATAGCTATATACTGCTGCCATCAACTCAATCTGACCTCTTCCCTATCATGGATATTTATTCGAGACTTCGATACGCTATTTAGCAATCTGGCAGTAATATCAAGGCCGCGTCAATCACCGTCCTTGCATGTGATGGTTGGAAGGGTTGGCTTGTCTCAGTCACTACGACTCTCCTTCGTCCCTGCATGATACGTCGCTGGCGTAGAGATGGAAATTTGCTATGACCTTGGGATCTGTCTAGGTCACAACAGAATTTTGGACGTGTCGTCGGGACAATAAGTATGTTACGAATAGCCTTGATTCCCGCAGTCTCCACTCGGCCATCACCAAAAAAAGACAGCTATCATAAAGGCGTGATATCCAAACCTTCAGTGAATACAAAGATCGCTAGAAAAAAAATTCGGCATCCAAAGCCAGCGTAGCGTTCTCAAAAGACACGTATCAGCCAATGTAGGAGAGAACAACACTTCTTTCACCCCGAGCAACACATTCAATGACTTTTTCTTTGAATGTCAATACTTTTTTTTTTTTTACTCGCAATCCATAAGTGTTTCCGTCAATCCAGTGGGAAATAGAAACACCTTGGAGGAGCTAGAAAACTAGCTTATAGTTTATATTGCAACGTCAGAAGAAGATGATGTTGCCAAGTGTAATGTTATTCTCAACCATCTAGTATCGGCCTTTCGTGAAAGTTCTGCATGCATACCTACTGGATTATTCGTAGTGTTGTCCTAACATCTGAGTGCTTAGAAATACTCCTCCTCCTGCTACCCCTCAAAAAAAAAGTTAAACAGATTCTAAGCCGTGAGCAGCATTCGGAGACCGCACCTATCAATATAAAAGGTACAGGAAAGGCTTAAATTAGAGAACAGCGTCGAAAACAGCCTTGGAAAAACCCATACCCCGGCCGGAGAGAATGCCCGAAAACTTAGCCGCACGACCGGGGAATGATACGACTACGACAGCCCCCATTATTCCTTTAAACGGAGCGGCGGGTAACTGTTCGTAAGGCGATAACCTTGCTTAATTGGGTTTAAATTAATTATGGCATCTTGAATTACTGGCTGACAGACTGACTGGCGTACTAAATATCTGGGTAGGAAAGGAAATAGATGTGTTAATTCGCAGTCGATATGATTGGTTGTGGTTGGCACTTTTAATGCGCTGTATACAACGTTGAACGTAGGCGGATTGGGATGTGGTGCTGGTATGGTGTGGCGTGAATTCTAGGTGCAGAAAGGAAATATAGTGGACTTTCCAGTGGTAGTGGTAATGATTGAGGGGGATAATTAAAAGAGATGACTGGAGGTGAGAGGATACATTCACGGCATCCCAGCTCCTTCATGGCGTTGCTCCCGGTACAAAAACAAGAGGGATAGGTTTCCGAAGGATAGTGAAGGAGTTTATCGTAACGTCCGCTTGCCATCTCCTGGAACGGGGCAAGGAAGGAGGGTTACGGGACGGAAAACATAGTCTGGACACAATGGAATCTGCATTTTCGTCTGGACTATATATAAATATCCTACACATCCTACATATAAGTACAAATGAAATATATACACCCATGTATCAGTGCACCCAGCCATCCTTAATGTAGGAAAGGCCGTCAGTCCTTCCCAAGTCTTGCCTCTACTTCTTCTCATCATCATCACTATCATCCTCAGGCGGCATGTCCAGCACTACCTCCGTGACCTTCTCCCCCTTCTTCTCTCCATCCTTCAATGAAAACTTATACTTGCCCCCCAGCACCAGGTCCTTCGCCACAATTTCCCTTGTGCGACCAAGACTCTCGATGTCCGAGATTCTCTGCAAAGTATTCTGAAGATGTTCGTCGAAGCCCTCTTCTTCACAGATGGACCTGAACGCGCGCTGCATCGGAACGCTGTCCGCCCGCACGTACGCCTGGCTTGTGATTGTGAATAAGTTATTGTGGTCATAGTCTTTGATAAAGTCGGCTCGTGTCATGATTTGACGCGCTTTGTGCAGCGGGATTTGCGGGATAAGGTGGGAGCCGTCGGTTAAGGCGTAGGGTGAGTCTTGGGATTTCTCAGCGGCAACGAGGGCTTGGGCTAGGACCATTGCTGCGGACTATAGGATATGTGAGTGGAGAATGGGAGGATTGGAAGAGAGAAAGTGATGAAGAGGAAAAGAGCTAGGAGAGGGAAAGGGGACGCACGGCATATTTCTGTTGATCCATCACGTCGTCGTCCATTTCAGTGCCAAGGATCCAGCACTGGTTCAAAAACCAGCGCTTCTCGGTATCGATAATGGCATCGCATGTCTCGAGCATATCTCTGCTCTTGGCGACGCGGTTGAGGAAGGTGAGGCGGCCGCCTACCCGGTCGTAGACTTCGTCCATGATTTTCTTGTCGGGCTTCTCGCTGAAGTATTTGAGTCTGTATCGGGACAACGCGGATATGGCTTGGTTCTTAGGCAGATCCGTAACGGAAGTGATTTCCATTCGGGTAGCGAGTTGCTTCATCCGTTCATAGACCCAGTAGTCATCGCTGTTGAAGACCATCGTCACGAGGTTACTGGCTGCCCATTGTTCAGCTCGCTGCTGTAGGAGCTCGAGGAGATCCCGACCGTCGTCGTTGTCGCGGAGGAGATGCACAGAATTGATAATCACGATCAAGGGTTTACCGAGTTTTTTGCGGCGCTTCAGAGCCACTTTCTCGAGCTTGTTGAATGCACGTTCAATGTCGAGGAGAGCGGTGCTCTCTCTTGGCCCGCGTTCAGAGAAGTAAGACCCAATGTAGTCCTCATGAAACTCGAAGTCTAGGGCCTTTCCTAGCCGAGTGCGGAAGATCTCTAGGTCGGCGTGGGCTTCAAACATACTGCATCCCTCGCCGTCGACCTTTTGCATGGCGTCCAGCAGCATGCTTGATTTGCCTGTTCCTTTTTCTCCGATCAGGAGATGGTAGTGACCCCTTAAAGATCCATTAACGATATCATCTATCTTGGCCTGCTCGTCTCGCAGGATCCAGTGCTCGTCTGATTTTCGAGCTAGCGGTGGCGAGGTAATGGAGTTTGGGATTTGCTTGCCTATTGCCGCAAGTTCGAGAACGGGATCTCCAGGTTTAAAGGCGCCTTCCATCTTGTGGATAACTAGCCACTTGTAGAACTTGTGATACAAGTACCCGCCGGTACCAAATCCTGTTCCGAGGACGACGATGCTTGCGAACGCTGTGGCGGCAGCTTCGATCATTTTTTTCGACAACGGTATATCATCTTGGGCGTCGCTAAGCCTTTCGGAATGGTAGTTCCGCCGTCTGGGAGGACTGCGGATGTCTCCTTGGGTAGCGCTGTTAGCTGTCTGTCTAAGTATACTTCAACATGTTCTTGCAGCACATGACCCACACGTGATCATCTATCTAATGTCCGCTGGACCAGCCAGCGAATTCCACCCGGGTAGCCAGTACCTGGACCACAAAATCTCGCAGATACAGCTAATCATGGAGTGCTGAATATTGATATTTGATGAGACAAGTCTGGTACCTATATGCATCTGGCCGGAGCAGAAGAAGCATTTATCAACGAAGGCATTGGGACCGGACCGGACTCTCCATGCAAGGGGGGGACGTATTAGGACAATATAATAAATACCAAAGTTTCGTTCTACTCACGTAATTCCCCGACATCTCCAGATTTTCCCGGGCGATTCGTCGCGGTGCCAGTCCTCCCCAGGGCTGGCGGTCTCGTCCAACGGCGCGTCAACAAGCGACTGACTGCAGCATATCGATATATCCGGCGAGGATGTGTAGCTGGCGCCCTCTTCATCGTGAAGCGTATGGGGGTTGCGTTAGTCCGAGAAGAACCCGTCGTTCGTATTCGGCCAGCTGAACTGCTTGTTGAGTGGTAGATGAGTGTGATGTATCGGGAGAGTCCACGTCGTCGTTGCTTGCTTTGCTTTAGGTTTCTGGTGTTGTGCTGCTATCCAGTAAATGGTCCGTGGGAAGGACCCGACATCGAAAGGTGGAGACTACTCTCAAAAAAGGTCTGCACCTTGGATGAGGATATATACAACCTTTGTAGATCATCGATGAGAGTATTCTATATACGAATGGATCACAAAATAATTCCTCAACTAGAGATATCGGATGAACTGAGGCTCAACGCGGCTCGCAGTGCATTTCCTGATTGGATCGAGTGACTTGATCAGCAGCTCGGCGAATAGATATTCCGGGATTGAGCCTCAAATCTTGGCGCCGGCTACAAACAACGGAGTCTTAACGACATTCATCCATGGTTTTTCTTATTGATCAAGCCGGAGCCCTCGTACGGATTTGGAATATCGTGTAGAGACTACCTGTATTCACCGAGAATGTATTACTTGTACTATCCCTTCTCGTCACAAATTCGCAATGTAAACAACAACTCCTAATCACGTATCACCTGGGAGAAAAAGTTTCAAGATAAGCAGCGGGAAGGCTTTGATATGCTCCGGATGTTGTATGAAGGACTTCCTGTAAAGACCATATTTGGGTGCCCTCAAGAATGGATTGCTGGCGCGTTTGCTGGCTTGGGCCATTTCTGCTGCCCAGTTTGGTTACAGCAGATCAAGAAAAGTCACCCATCTGCCCAGTACAAAGCAGATTAACTTGCTTCAATAGTGGGCTAGCTCAGAGAGCCGAACAGCAGCTCTTAATTGTCAAATGAAGAAACACTCTTATTGACAGCAGATAGTGTATAGATTGAGTCGATGTACTATTTTACAAGGTCAAGAGGGTTACAGCCCTATATTTCCAAGGATCCACTGGCCTGGAGATATTACGATAGTGTTCCGATTGCAAGCAGGTCAGAATGCTATACTTTTGACACCTTCGCATAACCAGCTTGAAGACATGTGTCAATATCATCAGTTCACATCTGCAGGGATTGTGGTTACTATTAATCAGGACATAGACTGCGCGACTTGGCCGTCCAAAAAGATATTTTCTGAGCCGAAAGAACCCTCTGCCTTAATGCAACCTTTGTCTCCCCGGATGACCTCAATTCATCTGGACACTGTTATTGAACCAATGTTGAAATGGGATGCATACCTCCTTTCTGCATTGGAAGTGGCAGGATATGTTTTTCCTAGTCTGAACTCCCCCGTTCCAAAACCACAATATCGCAGAGAGTGATACAATAGCTTTTTAACTTTATCTACCTTGGGGAGAAGCTTAACATGAACTGAAAGATAGGTTCAGCTACAGCGAGTAAGTATCAAGTAAAGTCAAACCTGTAGCAATCAATCACAAAGGGGCTTCTTACCAACATAAACGCAAATAAGAACTAAAGCGATTCTAAAATGCCAGACTCTGCGTCTTCATCGGATAGCTAGCTTCAAGTGTGCTTGTATATTAGCATACTTGTGCCAAGAGAAACTTGCTGAGAGAAGTATACTTCAGACCGGCAAAGATAAAGGTGATAGGATGGACTCATGGCGTCGGCAAAATACTGTGGGTGGCTGCCTAACTCGCTTAGCCTTTTCTACGCGTCCGGAGATGTCAACGAGTTCAAGTTTCCTATCGACGACGCGATCTCCGCTTTCAACACCAACCTCAACAGCATCGACCTCTTTGACCTCCGACCACAAAATCTCTCGACCACACCCTTCTAAGCCCTACAGCTCTCGCAGCACGCTGGAATACGCGTACTTTTCACTCCCGTATCATAATTCCGCGAACTTTCTTCCTTGCACTGTCGCCGCGCAGTCTCTGTGTTTCCTGCGACTCGGTTTCGATCTCCGAGGACTGTTTACCTGATCTCTTCGATCTCGACTCTACCTTCACCTCCTGCAACTCAATTGCATCGACACAGCAGTGTGCGACGCGCTTCATCGGATTTTCGGTCACATCATTGAGTCCAGCGCAGCTAACGCTTCTCTTCCACCATGTTTTCTATCAATAAGGGTGAGCTTACAATTCCCTCCAATCAGCACCTGTGTGGGGAGACATCACTAACCTCCAATTAAAGGTCTCCAGAAGCAAAACCTCCCAAAGTTGAAGGATGTACACGAATTTTGGGTTTTGGACCCCCAGGGACGACTAATCTCTAACTTCTTCGCGTCTCTGGATCCTTTGCCTCCCACATCCCCAGATCTTAACACCGCTGAAGCAGGAGATCAGCGAGAGAACTCACAACTGGGTGGATCGAATTGCCCGAGTGATCGGTTCACAGACCCGGGCAACGAGACCTTGATGAACATTACCAACCTCATATCATGCTCGACCAGAAGTTTAAAGATTAGTCAAGAGAATATCAAGCGTCAGCAGGGCCGCATACCTACCTTTGATGAGGAGCACGAAATCAGGGGAACAATTCCAGTATCGACAATCCGTACATACTGTCTGCAGCGGTCTTTCGTTACTAAATTCTCTGAGTTCGAACCTCTCTCCGGCCTGACTGCCTTAGACTTTTTACGAGATCTCGAGTTCAGTAGGCGAGACCATCTGCGAGCAGTAGGAAAACGGCTGTCTCTGACGATGCACAACTGGCGAACGGCTCTCATAGATGAGGACAAAGCACTGGAATGGATGGAAAGAGCGCAAGCGCGTGACATGAAAGCTCAAACATTGTATGCCGACCTGTTCGTCAACTTGAGGATCTGGGTATGTCTCCTTTCGGATCGGAGAGAAACATCTGCTAACATTCGAGTAGATTATGATCGCAACGCTAGTCGACGAGGACTTTTACGAGGCCAATGCTTTAGCGATGTTGAACACCCTCTTCCCACCGGTCGTCAATGAAACCCCAGACGCTTCTTTCGACCCCAACACATTGCTGGAGCTCAGATCTAAATATTTCGAGTATCTGCATGACATGAGGACAGGATCTACAAAGATATCTGAAACTCTCGACATGTACCACAAGCCAAGCCACCTGAGATCATGGTTCCGGGTTCGAGAGACCGTCGACGAGTACCTGAACGTGGCGGAAGCCATGATCGAAGGGGTGAGAGGCATCAATAACGTGAAAGACATGGTGGTTTTAGGCACAAAAGTTCCTGTTCTGAACCCCACGGAAGTTGCCGCAAACCCAAGTCCGAAGACAACAAAGGCTCCAAGAAAGATGTTGAGTATGATCAATTTTCGCCCTGGTAGACACGCTAGCTCACAGACCGTCTCTGGCACGAACCTTGAAGGCTTGTATCCAACAACTTTGTATTCCCATTCGACAGCTGATGTACAGCTCACAAAGCAGCCACAGTTGGGCCAGTCGACTGGTAACCTGGGAGGGATTCACAAGTCAAGAATCGACGCGAAAGTTGATTCCAACACAAACAAGACTACCTCAGCTGCTACTCAGCCAAAGATTGACCCTGCAGCCCTCGCGCACGCGGAAAGATCCCTCACTTCTCCGGTCGCATATCATCCAAAGGATGATAGTGCATCAAGCACACGAAATCGTGCTCCAACTCTCAAATATCTCGGATTTATTCCCCCTATCGATGCACCCGAGAGGCTTAGCGAGCGTGCCTTCGCTTTAGATCCGGCGACACCTTCCCCAGAGTCTGGCCCGTTCGAAGTACATAGCAGGCTTCCCACTGAGACCTCTGTCGAAGGAATTGGAAGATACAATTCAATTTCTCAACCACGTCGCCCCCGAACATCAAAAGAGGTAGTTTCGACGCTGGGCAATTCACCCAATCGTGGGAAACTGCGAAGAAGCTCACTTCTTAGATCAATGGAGAGCCTTCACACCACTCCTACAATTCCAAGAAGCCCATTAGAGTCTGTGGAAGAGAACACACAAGTCTTAACAACGTCTGTCGATCTAGACACTCCAGAAAGCGGAAAATCGTTGAGAAAACCTAGCCCTCGCTTAGATACCGCAGGACCTCCGCCAGATGTGCCTCTGCCGCCAAAACCTTGGAACAGTCCGGAACAGTCACTGGTATCAGCTTCAAAGCAGGTTGATCGTGGAAGGAAGTCAGTATCGGAGAAAAGCGACGGTGCGGACTCGGTTGTTGTTAACAAGGTTGTCAGCAACGTAACCGCTCCCGCGTCTGCTGCAACACCACTCGCTTCCAGCCCTCCAAATATTGCGTACCCACGTCAACGCGTGCTGAGTTTGGATTACCAATATCAACGAGCAGATCCGCCCCGTCCGGTTCCTCGTAATGACAATTATGAGTTCCTCAATCACGACCCCTACTTTATCCCCCTGGATACTACAACTCGAGCACCAACGTTAAAGAAAAAAGGCAGTCTAAGCAGTTTGTTTGTCCGGCATAAGTCGTCCGCAAGTTCAATCAAGGAGGAGTTCGGCCGGGGAAACCCCTTGGGCATCTTTAGTAAGATTAAGAACAGTAGCAGCAAGAAAAAGGGCGGCGCAGGACAGAGAGAACCGCCACCTCGCCATACCCCGCGATCGGCAGGATGTGGAAGGCTACCTAGCCGTGATGTTACGGAAGAGGAATTCGACTTCGTAACCCTCTGGTCCAACGTGACATACCCGCCGAGACTTGATGCGTATACCGTATCGCCACCAGCTGAAAATGAGCATCCCTCAACACCTCAGGCAAGATCAAGGAATTTCTCCAGACCCTGATTCAAGATTTGTCCGCCGGGAAGGAAAGGGTGCCAACGAGCCGCTGCATATCTCTAGCTTACATCGGATGCTAGGATGTAGTTTATGCTGGTCTATCCTTTTTTTTTCCTTCTTTTTCTTTCCTGTAGCTCCTGTGCCTGCGTTTGGAAATATGTAGATATGAGTAATAAATCTTGCTTTACCAAACGATCCCGCTGCTATTCTTGACTTAATGATGCCGGAGGTTTAGATCAGCCCCTTTCTTTTCCCTTTCCTGATAAAAACCATTCCTGTGAAGGAACTTGAAGTAGAAATCACAAATGCGGGATGTCCGGGGTAGCAGTGTCATAATGCACATCTATGACATTTACTCCTCTTGAATGTTTGGACTTGAAAAGTCTTTCCACCCTTCGGGTACTCAGAAAGTGCCTAGGAGACTCGGAATAGCTTTTTATATACGGATATGTTTTCCAGGTCTTCTTTTGGTGGTTGACATCCATTATTGCTAGCCGAGCACGTCCCCTCGAAGGATCTTGGCATTTTGTCCTGCAGACAGGAAAGGAAGGCCCATTTTCCTCTTCTACGAACGTGGTATAATTGTGGTTTGGCGCTTCGCTCTCTCCCCTTTTTTGCCGTTACATGGGCTCCTCTCTCCTTTTTACGCTGCGGGAGGGTCGGTCCTTGAGCAGTTACCCAAGGGCATGTCTTGCTATGTCATGTCTAAACGGATCTACTTTTATTGTCTGTATCCATTAACCTCGGCATTCAAATTGTAGAGTGTTGTTCATCTATCCAGTCTTTGAGATTGGGTCATGGTGCGTCTATCTATTGTGGATGGAAGAGCTCCAGCATATACCTGACTGCGAATCAAGAGATGTATAAGAATAAAATCATGATAGTATCGAGGGTGAAAAGGAGAGGGAAAAGAGGTAACGTCTGTTCGTCGTAGTATTTATTGTATTGTATTGTCTTGTAATGACGATGTGATGATGGTTCAGGGAGGAACCAACTACTCGTCGATATATGCGTGTGCACGTGACATAGCAACGTGCCTAGTGGAGTGGAGAGCACGTGGTAGTGGGGCCTGATACAAGGCCAATAATAGACCAGGAAGTCAGGGATCAGGAACGCCAACTCCACCACACTATCTACTGCTAACCATGTGAAATGTAGAATCAGGGAGGCTGTCCAGCAGCATACAACGAAGAATCAGGCACTATCTTTCCTTGTTCAAATACTCGGAGGATTGTTCAGGCAATTGTAATGGTTTCAGTTCCGCTCTGATGTCACGTGCCTAGTTCTTTATGCCTGATGAACAAGGCATCATGAATTTTTTATCAAACGACGCGTCGGCCACAAAACCTAAATTCAAAATGGGCTTGAAACTTCCAGACGCTCCTCGCTCTCGTCTGTTGGCAACTTGATCAACGACCCACAATGTTGCAGAGATTCAAAGGACTATTTTCTTCCTCAATTCCCCAATCCAGCAATCTCAACCACGGTGAGGGATCCTCTGGTAAGTTTCAATAGAATTCTGACAGCTGTTCATGATGGGGTGGAGCTACCCGTAGCGCGACTTACAAAAGCTGGGTGTGGGGCCGCTGCTTGCAGATTTCCTTCTGCAATTGCAACGGTTGGAATTTGTGCTTTTGAAGACGCGCTGGCTGACCGAACGACGTCTGCAAGAAATGAGTCGCGACGAGATGGAGACTGCCAACGGCTTCGACGAGGTAGCTGATGCACGACCTACAACGGAGGAAGAGAGAAAGGAAGAGGATAAGAAGGAGAGGAAGCGACTGAAAACCTTAAGGAAGCTGGACAAGAAGAGGAGGAGGCAGAGCCAACAGGCGCCAGATTCGTCGATGATGGACTCTTCTCTGATGGGCTCTTCGATCATGGAGGAGTATGCTGCCCCGGAAATGGCGGCAGAAGTAGAAGAGAAGAACCCTGCACATGCGCTCCCGTCGAGCAATGGTACCAATGGACATGTGAAAGAGATGCAGGAGCAGGAGCAGAAGGAGCCTGTGGAGGAAGCAAAATCCAAACAATCCCGGAGAGGCGCCCGGTCCAGAAAAAGACGATCGAAGGCTGAAGCGGCCGGGACCAGCGCCATCGATAATACCCCACAACCTGCGGAACCCATGAATTACGAAATAGAAAGCGAAGATATTGTGTCTGCGATGAAGAAGGGTCGTTTGGCCAAGAGTCAGAGCACAGAGGCGAAGGTCAAGAAGTCAAAAAAGTCTAAGAAATCGAATCCGGAATCGGAGGTTCAGCCAACCCTTGATGAGGGAGAAGGCGCTGCTGTCATGAACGCTCAAGATCAGTCTAACAACCTAGGTCAAACCCCAGGTAAGATCAAGAAGGCAAAACAAAGATCGCATAGGTCCCCCCACAAGCAGTCGCAGAACAATGCTGCGACCGACGAGGACGACTCTGCCTCTAACTTGTACCCATCCCACAAGCCTGCTCCTTACAACCTATCAGCATCCCACTCAGCTGTTCAGGAAGATACCTCTGAGGTAGAAGCCCGGATTCAAAACAGTGCCGAGCTATTAGCACTCGAAGAGGCAGCAAACGAAGAATCGGCACCTAAAGGACCTTCAAAGAAAGCTTTAGGCAAGAGAAAAGTTTCTGATACGGCGATGGGATCAAATTCTAAGCGCAGAAAATCCAAGGTTAAGGCAGCAGAAACGGCCGAGTCGACCGAGTACGACTTCATCTTATCACAGATTGCCCCCGTCGCAAACGATGCACCGGAACCAAGACCACGCAGCAGGTCTCATTCCGTTTCGAGCCAATCACTGACGAAACTTGGTGAAACTGCTGCCCGGCTCTATGCAAGCCAGATGGAAAATAAGAGGTATTCGCCTGCTCCTTCGGATGCCAGCTCGCTAGGACCCCCACCTTCCAGCACTTACATGGCATCAAATATGGCATCGAGTCTGCAACGGAGATCTACCCCGATATTTACACCTATTAACAAGCTTCAATCCACTGCTTCACACATCAAACCCCCAGAGGGAAATCCTGATGAGCCTCCCTCACCACAGCCGGAACCGTCGCAACCGGAACCGGAACCGGAACCGGAATCGGAACCGTCGGTTGAAATACCAGCGCAGACTCCCAAAGCTGTCCAACCCCGGAAACGTGGCCTTCCTGCTGGTAAGCCGGAGTCGTCACAGGCCAAGACCAAGGCTAAGAGGAAGACGTTGAGCCGAGAGAGCAGTGCTGCTAAAACACCTAAAGCCAAAACGCTTAAGAATCCGGTCACTAGCCAGGTCACTCCCTTACCAAAGGGGGCACGTCTTCCCGATGATGATGCTCGTGCCATCGAAGCTGCTGTCCAGTCGTACAGAGATATGAACGACCTCGAGCAGAGGGATATGAACGCCATTATTCAAGATGATGCTTCCAAATCGAAAAACAGACAGTTCTGGACGCACATGTATGAAGAAGTTCCGAACCTACCACAAGTCAAGATTCTCAATCGGTGCCGTCGCCAGTTCCACAACTTCGAAGCACGCGGATCGTGGACCGAGGAGCAGGACCAGGACTTGAAAGATGCTTATGAGAGACGTCCGGGCAAGTGGAAGCTAATTGGTGCAGAGCTCAATCGATTTCCAGAAGATTGTCGCGATCGCTGGAGGAACTACTTGGTGTGTGGAGACAATCAGGTAAAGGTTTCCTGGGATCTCAGGGAAGAGGAGAAGCTGAGGAGGGTGGTGGAGGGAATTGCGAAAGGTTTGAGGGCCGATAAGCAATTCAAATCTTCGACGGACATCTACAGCTTTATGGATTGGCAACGAGTCAGTGCCGAAATGGGCCATAAACGGAGTCGACTTCAATGTCAGATCAAGTGGAAGAAAATTCAAAAGCGAGAGGAGGAGGAACCCGAAAGCCCGGGAGAGCAAGATCTCGTGCCTATAGCCAAACCCGGATGGCGCCTTGAGAGCGCCGAGGCGGACGCTAATTCAATGCTTCCGGGGGAGAAACTCCAAATGCTGTACCAGATCAGGGACACCAAGGCCGGGAGGCAAAAATCGATTCCGTGGTACCAAATTCAACAAGAACTCGGGACTTCTGGGAGAAGAATGGCCTTCAAGATTGCACTTAGGAGTATGAAGGAGCTCATCGAAGATCACGAGTCCATGAAACTTCAGGAAGTCGTGTCAGCCCTCATCGACTTGTATGAAAGTGCTGCTCCTGAGGAGCCGGACATCATGAGGGGTTTAAGGATAGGCAAATCTAAGCGCAAGAGAAAATATGTGTCCGAGGATGACAACGGCGAAGAATCAAACACAATCAAAAAGAAGCGAAAGTCCAGTAAGACAGAGAGCTTCAGCGCCAATGGTGAAGGTGCCAGTACTGCTGCAACGGCTGAGATGAAAGATGATAACGACAAGACGCCTCCGGTTTCGGCCAAGCGACCCAAAAAGCTACGATCACGCATGAAAGCTCAGAATTCAACTGAGAGCCAGGAAACAAATGATCATGTATCCGATGCCGGCGGTGATGATATTGGTCCTGCTTCCCAGGCCATTAAGAAAAGCAAGTCCACGCGCAAATCCCCTGGCCAGAAAGCAAAGAAGCCTATTACCAAAGCAAGGACTTCGAAGCGGCCTCCTCTGAGTGAGTATCGGGTGGTGGAAAGCGAGGATGAGGAGCAGGTGGTTATGGAAGACCCGATACCGAACCCAGCGCGTGAGCATGCCGTTCAACCCGAAAATGAAGTTCAACCTGACGACGAGGTGCAGCAGGAGGAAGATGAAGATGCACCATTAGACGAAAATGATCCGCAAGATGACGAGAGCCGCCCTTACCTGGATATTCCCCCGCCAGACGAACCAGAAATCCCGGAGTCGGAACACGAGATGGACAACGGCTTTCAGTCAGGACAAAATGGCTATATGATGTATGAAGACGAAGAGGACATCGAGGACGATGAGTATGACTACACTCGCATCACCCATGATCAAGAGAGCGTCGATCTCGGTGATTCTCATTCTATCGTTGCAAATGGATTCAATAACGGCAGCTCTGATGAGATGGACAGTGTCGAAGAGAATATCCACCTTCGACTCGGCAGAGAAGAGAGTGTAGATCTTGACACCCCACGGAAGCAGGCGTCGTATCCCGTGACGCACTCCGGGGAAGACGATGATAAATTTGGACTTGGGGTCAATGGCTTCAACAACCGCTATGTGAGAACGGGGTCCATCAGTTCTGATGCAAGCAGTATCCCAGCTGTGGCTTTCGAGGGACAGAAGGGGCGGGCGAGGGTGAAAAGTATGGAGTTGTGACATGTCCTCAAATTTGTGGTACTCATATCTCAATGGTCAGTCGACTTCATGAGATTGCCGGGACGGCAGCTCTTAGCGTTGAGAATGGAATGCACCAGTTCGGACTCAGCGGGAGAAGCTGAAAAGGCGTACAAGCATCCATTACGAGAGCCATAACATAGATGCGCTCATTCTGCTCGATAGGCCAATAAATATTACTTAGGTATCCTATACGTGCCACACATCTCCTGACTTTTGACTTGGATTGAGATTGCTGTGAGATGAAGTTGCAAATTTTTAATTTTCGCATGTAAAGTTGTTTTCTTCCATCTTTCCGATGTGTCCCACGCCTGGTTTCAAGCTCTTTCATATTCTGGGTCTTCGTATTCAATTTATCCAGGGGTATCTTGCGGGCTTACTGAAGGTAACATTCCACCAATTGGCGGCTGTAGAATAGAAGTTGTCCATGTACGAAGCGTGCCCATTCTCACTCGACTTGTCCCTCTGTCAAGGCTTAAAGCAATTGACGAAAGGTGATGAAAGGTGAACGTATGTACAAGAGTGTAGGAGCACCACAAGTGTCCTCCTCGCCTTGAGGAAAGTTCTGGTGCTCCCTGCGCCCTACCCTTTGACTCACTTGGCAGTGGTTGTTTTCTGTGCTGTGCACTGTCCATTGCGACCAGCCACATCACTCCGAACGCCGTTCCTCGCGTTCGAGAAGGTCCTCGCTTCTGGGCTTCCCGACGAGGAAAGTGGTGGGGCTTGGAGGGCTGGGTCTATTGAACAAGGCATTGCTTTAGCTCAGGTTTTGTCTCGGGTATCGATCGGTAAGTCTACGGAAGTTCCTCGGATCTTGCTCTGCATACACGATTGAATGCAGGATTTGCGAAGCGTCTGGCGAAACTCAAGAATATTCTCGTTCTCCGGTGTTGTGTTATCTCTTGCCGGATTTGGAACGAGCTGCATTCTGGGCATGAGGCGCGTTTTGATGGTCGAGCGAGCGACACTGCTGTTATGTGGAACATCATTCGAGATGATATTAATCTGAGATTTCTTTTATTGGAGCGCCTTCTCGTTCCGACTAGTAGTTGTCATATCCACCGACGCCTTACGGAATCCACAGAGAGATATGTAGGTGGATATTAATAGACCCCTGTACCGGCTCGCAGATATTATGTTCCAAAGGGAGCGTATCGGTAAGCTGGTTGTCACAGTCTCTCAGCTCCTCTACGTTAACTGGCTACTTACTATTCACGTAGGGTGATTTGTCTCGAAAGTCACAAACACCCCCATGGACGCCAATACTCTGAGAACAAACCTTCTTGAGGAGAATGGGATGCTTTCTTTCTTACAATCCCATCTTCATGCCCTTAATCAAACGTGGTCAGGCTACGAAGTCTGTGTGGTACAAGGTTAAATTTAGTAAGGTCAAACTGTATTACTACGTCGCAGGCGTAAGTATTACCCCTCGAGGGTATGGAAAACAGGGGGTTTAAAGTGGAAACTAAACTTTTAAGGCACCCTCGAGGGGTAATACTTAGGCCTGTACCGTGGTACATCTCCCGACCCTTGTCAACCGGTCCAGCCCGTACGTACTTACTTAAAACGGTGGAAGGGACCTTACACGCCAGAGGGACGTTGCATGAAGTTAACTATACCATACTGCGGGCTAATCCTGAGGGTTTTGCGCCGTTCTAGACCAATCGCATTTGTGCTCGACGCTTGCGTGCTGAGCTCGATCAACTACTGGCCGCATTGGATTGCATTCGTGTAGCAGCCTTGCCTCGTCTTCTCGTTGGAATATCCTTAAGCTTGCTTAAAGTTCAGGGCCAGGGGCCGACTAAGACCCTGCGTTGGGCTGAGTTTGATAAGGTTAAAAAGGCCTTATTTTATTCGACAGCGAGGTCTGCTTATTCTTACAACTACCGTTGTACCCACGGTACAGGCGTAAGTACTACGTATTACCCCTCGAGGGTGCTTCAAAAGTTTAGTTTCCACTTTAAACCCCTTGGTTTCCCTACCCTCGAGGGGTAATACTTACGCCTGCGACGTACCACGGTACAGGCCTAAGTATTACCCCTCGAGGGTGCCTTAAAAGTTTAGTTTCCACTTTAAACCCCCTGTTTTCCATACCCTCGAGGGGTAATACTTACGCCTGCGACGTAGTAGTACTACGTACAGTACGTAGTAGTACGTACGTACGTACGTAGTACTACTATTCTTGCGCGTTTTAAATTCGAAAGTGTATTTTTACTAAGGGGTTTAGCAGGGGCTTGCAAGGGGGAGGGTGGCAGTGAACCTTGGGTACCTTTAGAATACGGCCCTTAACCTTAAAAAACTGGCAGAATTCTTTACATGTCGAGCAATTACGCCGCTGCCGCCGCAACGATGAGAATTCAAGACCTTTTCAATTACGAACCTTGAAAGCTACCGCGCTACGAATACTACGATGAAGTACAACGTACGTAGTACTACGTATGTACCACTACTTGATTCGCAAGCGTCAGCTTTTCCAGCTTCAACGCTAATTTTAACCTCTTGAACTTTTACGCAATTGTACGACTTTCGAAATAGCCTTCGACCTTTTACGCTAACGCTTTGCGATCAGCCTCGCTTTCTTTTAATTCAAATGCCTCGTACGCCAATTATACGAAAGCCTAAAGCATTAACGATTCATTCCGATCGTATTCGAATTGAAACACCTTTACTTTTCAAAGTCAAATCGAAAGAAAGACAAGAGAAGTTGAAGTATACGGATAGACCAATCCGCTTTGCTAAAGCATCTTCAACTACTCTTCAAGTTCACCGACGGGGACTGACGGGGACGTAACCTTGCTTTCGATACGCTAGAACGATAACGCTTTGAAGAATAGCGTTTCGAATCTTTTTGACGCCGCCGAATTGCTTAGCACTATATACCTTACTAAGAATCCCTTTCTTCCGAGCTTCGCGGATACGGTTAACTGGCTACTATCCCCCCCCATGAATAAATACATGTCGAAAGTATAATCTTGCGAAGGATCTTATCAGGGCTTAAACCAATCAATTTATAAGAATACAGCCTTGAAAAGTATCTTTAATTTAGTAACTAGTCTGTGCAATTGAGTTGACAGGGCTTTGAGCCATTCAGAAGCCACCGCTCTACGATTGTTGTACTACACTTCGTATGAAGCTAGACTGGGTCCGACATTTAAACATGGGGAGTACCAATGCAGCGAAGTGAAAGCTACTACTCTCCCCCCCCATGAATAAATGTCGGACCCAGTTTAGGCCCATAAATCATAGAGCGGTGGTTTCTTAATGGCTCAAAGCCCTGTCAACTCCACTGTATAGACTAAATACTGGCTCAAAGATACTTTCCAAAGCTGAATCCTTATAAGTTGATTGGTTTAAGCCTTGGTAAGATCCCCTTGCGAAATTATACTTTCGACATTTATTCATGGGGGGGGAGAGTACGGTACAACACGTTGTACGTAGTACGTACTACATATAATGATATTGGATTAAGCGAAAGGGCTACCAAGGGATTCCGCATCCTCTGGTTTTACGTAGTAAATGAGACCTTGGCAAGCCATGCGCGGTGGAGACGGGCAACAGCGATAAGTGGCCGATTGGCAGGAATTGATGACTCATAAATGCCAAGTATCAAAGTCTATGGCGTTTGAGCCGCCAAAATGAGTAGAAATGCATTTGCTATCGTAGTACATCTTGATACAAGTATGCCAACATGTCTTTGCCCACTCTTGGAACTCCATCAAAACCACCAGAACCACTACTCTCCCCCCCCATGAATAAATGTCGAAAGTATAATTTCGCAAGGGGATCTTACCAAGGCTTAAACCAATCAACTTATAAGGATTCAGCTTTGGAAAGTATCTTTGAGCCAGTATTTAGTCTATACAGTGGAGTTGACAGGGCTTTGAGCCATTAAGAAACCACCGCTCTATGATTTATGGGCCTAAACTGGGTCCGACATTTATTCATGGGGGGGGAGAGTAGAACCGCCTTCAGCAAATACTTCCTTTAGCTCTCAAGCTAGCTGCTTACTAACAAAGTTTCGACGGGTGACACGAGCGGATGCACGCCTTCAGCCTCCACTTCCCATATTTCAGTCAGCTCATCCATTTCAAAAATCCTACCAACATCTCATTTAATCCAATCCGAGTAAGGTCTTCAGATGTAGCAAGCAAGCTGGATTGCTATGATGAAAAGATCACAGAAGGTCGCTGTCATCGGCGCCGGTGAGTCCCAAATTTCGTTCTGCATCGCAGCTGCAGGCCCCGGAAACGCCAGCTGACATACATTTATGATGGAACAGGACCCAGTGGACTCGCCGCGCTCAAAAATCTGAAGGAGGAAGGGTTCGATGTCACAGTGATTGAGCGGAGAGCGGATGTCGGTGGTGTCTGGGCTTTTTCGGACGATGCTGGGATTACTTCCACGCTTCCAGGTGAGTTCTGCACTTCTTCCATTCATATATACCCTGCACTAGACGGGAGACAAAAACAAATTGTAGAATTGTAGATCTGACTGACTTATCAGCGACCATATCGAACGTTAGCAAGTTTGGCGTGCGTGATATTATCTCCCCATGAAATGAAATCCGGCTAAATACAAAGACTTTGTTTACAGAACTCCTTTACGGACTTCCCAATTCCTGATGGTACGTTGATTCCTTTGCTACTCGCACTTTGACCTGAAAAGAGCTGAGGGTTTGCCTTTGGTCTTTCAGATTTCCCGGTACATCCAACGGCGGCACAAACATGCGATTATATCAAGTCGTATGCCTCTCATTTTGACCTCCATCGGCACGTCCAGCTCAATACATCTGTTCAATGGATAAAGCGCAGCGCCGATGATGCGAATTGGCAGGTGTGCACGATTACAAGCGGGAAAGAAGAGATCACAGACTTCTATCGAGTCGTTATCGCAACAGGGCTATCGACCGTAGCCTCTATTCCCAAGTTTGAAAATGCTGATGCATTCAAGGGGAAGATTTTGCATGTCCAGGCTTTCAAAGAGTATAAGCTTCAGGGAGTTCGAATTGATTCACATCGCTAACACGGAGACCAGGCCTTCAGACTTTAAGGACATGGATGTCTTGGTCCTCGGAATAGGGAATAGCGCTGCAGATACATCAACGCAGCTTATTGGACATGCCAAAAGCATCTATCTCTCACACCGTGCAGGTGTAAAGATCGTAAGTGACCCAGATAACCTTCAATCCTTGGCTTGTATAAATTTTGACAGCTTTCAGCTACCACGAAAGATCCGAAACAAACCTCTGGATTTTGTCATCACCCGGCAGAAGAACGTCGTAAAGTTCGCTCTCGATCGGTACATACCAGCCCTCAGCCGTTGGCTTTTCGACCTTACTATCGAAAAGTACTCCAGGCAGTCATTCAAGCTCGATCCCGCGTGGCGGCTATCCCCCGCCCCGTCTCTGGCAAAACACCAACCCTTGATTACAGATAATCTAGTAAGCAGCCTCTGGGCGAAGGACATCATATCTGTACATGGCCTGCGGCGGTTCATCGGCGATGGCGAAGTCGAACTGACGGACGGGACAGCCCTCCACGTGGATGCTGTCATTCTATGCACCGGCTACGAGCCCGACTTCTCAATAATGCCTGAGTTCAGCCCGCTCGATACCAGCAAGAGAGCCGGCATCTACAAGGCACCCCTAGCAAGACTATACCAGAACATATTCCCTCCACAATACGCCGACTCCCTCGCTTATCTCAACTACTTCGCCCTGACCGACGGCGTCATGAAGGTCTCGGATCTCGCCACCATGGCTCTCGCACAGATATGGAAAGGCAGCTACCAACTGCCCCCTCGAGACAAAATGAATGCTGAGATTGACAGACATCATGAGTGGGTCAGAGCGTTAGGGCAGGGTGACAGCGTCTATACCGGACTCGTGAGACCAGGACCTTGGTATGCATTTCTGGACAGCGCGGCGGGAACAGGCGTCGATGAGCATCTGGGGTACGGGTTGAACGGGTGGAGGTTCTGGTGGCGAGAGAGGCACCTGTGTAATCTGATGATGAGAGGCGTCATGACGCCTTTCATGTATCGCTTTTTTGAGGGCAGGAGGAAGAGGTGGGGAGGTGCTAGGAAGGCGATCGTACATGCGAATGAGTGGGCGAAGGCATATGCTGCGTGAGATGGAAAGAGATCGGTAATAGGACTATCGGGTAGACGTCAATCTCTAGCTCTCTGTATATTCATAGCCATCAAAGCTCAGACATGGGCTTTGTTGAGGAAACTTGGAGGCTGCAGACAGAGATTTTACTCCCCCCCCCCCGAAGCATATCTCTCTGGTTTCTGCAGCCTCTGCCCTTCCCGAATACTGATATAGAATAGATTATATGAGAGGAAAGAGGAACCGTTGCTTTTGATTGTCGAGATTAATTTCAAGCGTATACATCCAATTTCCATCTCGGAGCACTGGTATGATTGCAATAGTCGAAGAGCCGCTGACATAGAGGACTTACCCGGCCTGGCCATCTCAGGGTGCCATTAATAAACTATAAATTGAGAACATCTCCAATGAACATCTCACGTGCGCAGCTGCGCTGAAAAGAAGGCCAGCCACAACTTACAACTTCAGAAATAGACGCAAGCAAGCAGTCAGCTGTTGTGTCCCACAGAGAAAAAATATAACCCTCCTTATCTTCCAAGGCTCAAGACAAACGAGAATGAAGCAAGACAGCCTCGGATTTGGAGCGCGATCAGCCGTAGAGATCAAGCAGTCAGCTGCTTTGTCCCCAATCATAACCGAGAAAAACATAACCTTCCTTATCTTCCAAGGTTCAAGACACACGAAAATAAAGCAAGACAGCCTCGGATTTGGCGCGCGATCAGCCGTGGAGAGCATCGTATCCACGGAATCCAGATCTTGAGATAAAATAGCTCTCCATGATGAGCATCGATTCAATATTCGAGTCGCTCGGGTGCCCGGGGCAGTCACATCGGTTTGATTCCCCTACCCATCATCTCCGCGTCGAGTTTCGTGCCCGCCGTCCTCATGGAGCATCCCATGCGCAACAAGGCGGATGCGGCGCTGGGGGTGACTTGCATGGAGGGAGCCATGGACACATTCGTGACTCCGATCGTGCCAAGGTGCGAGATAGAAGGGGACTACAGGTTTGCTGGGGGGCTTCAGGTCCCGCCTTTTGGCAGCATGATGATATCTGGTGGTGCTGGAGAAGGAGGCGAGAGAAGTATTCGACGGACGAGACCGGTGGTCATGAGCGCGACGATCCAGTTGGATTTCGAGCAGCCGGTGGGTCCGGGAGCAGGGCAGGTGATGGGAGATCTCTGCAGGTTTCGCAGCAAGGAGCTCGTCGGGGGGGATCTTCTGAAATCTAGCGCAGCAGCATTCCAGATGCCCGCCCACCCACGCGCGCAAACATGACAAGGCAGATCGAGATGCATACGATGCAGAGCTGAGGGCGCACATGGTGTACCACCTGCTCTCACCCACCGACGTCTCCCAGTGTTCTCCGAAGCCTATTGCAGCTGCGGCCCATGTCTAATGACGACGCGACGACCTAGCTGGAGCAGCCGATCACCACCACAGCCGCGCTACGTCTCGCGCAGTTCGTCGGAAAGGTTTTGCGAATATCGCGGACGTAGGTCTTGTCGCTGGAGATGCTCTTCGTCGCCACGTGCCAGGTCGTCCGGAACGAGCTCTCGCTCTTCGAGCGGTTGTGCGACGTTTCGGGCTACGTACGTGTACACCTACGACCCGGCATCCATCTTCGCCGGCGCCATCGTCGGCGCCGCAATCCTGAACCGGCTGTTCAACGCTGCGGTGTCAAACACCTGGCGGACCACAGCCCGCTGCGTAACATGGCCATCTTCGGCTTCGACGACTACGCCGGTGAGATGTCGCTGGCACTTCCCGCGTCTGCCTTGGCGACGCAGGATGTTCCAAGGCGGCGCTGTTTAGTGGGGAGGGCGGCACGTACGATATTGGGAAGTGGAAATCGTCGGGCGGCGACGACGAAGGGAGTAGGGGTCCGATTGCTCGTGATCCACAACAACAGCGACAGCACGGCTTTGGCCAGATAGTAGTATATCGAGTCCGAGGGCGGCATGTCGAGCTTGGATGGGGCGATAGCTGCGCGGCGGCGAGTCTGGACCGAGGCCGTCCCGACTTGCTGCATCATATCATCTACAATTGACGTGGAGCGGGGCCTGGGTTTCAGCTCGTTCAGCTGGGTGAGAGTGGGCTACTTACTGTACGTTGCAATCTACGTAGTCCGGACCCGTTACTGGCGGTATTCGGAGAGAGAAGGGGGGGGGTTACCTCCCTAGGTAGTAGAAAGCCCAAATTCGCTTATAAGCGAGGCTGTTGATATAAATCAAGCGTCACATTAAAATGATGAGCAAGACGCCGAATTGGAATGGGAGCGGAATACCGTTCGTTCGATCGATCACTAATTGTTGGAAGCAAACTGAACGAAAGCTTTCTCCTTCGCCTCTTTCTACCTCGTGATGCCCTCCCCCCCAAAAGTGGTGTAGACAGTTGTCGACGAAGCGCTGGTCCCCATCACCAAGCAGGGCAACTTTCGTGGTCCTTCCGTATCCATATGCAGGCTCCTCTTTCCTCTTTTTGGATGACACTATCGATTGAGAAGTCCGGAAGTAGCAAGGGTTGTATATCCGTAGGGACAGTACAGTACCGGTACCTGGTCAGAGTGAGTCAGAGCTTCGCCCCTCAGTCAACCGGAATTCCCAGCCTTTCGTTTCATTCCTTCCCATCAAGGTTTCCCCTCCTCCTCTCCATCTGGTTCCCCACCTGAGTATCCCCGCCATGGCCATCAAGGTATTCCGTCGGTACCTAGGAGTTAGGAGAAGCGTCTTACAGGTAATCCCGTGATCTAATTGCCAATTGGTATCCATTTTTTTTGAAACACATCCATCTAACCCCTGAAAAAAGCCAGTACACTATTACCAGGTTTTTATTTTTCAATATTGGGTGAGCCCCACTTTTCTCCGAGGGCCGGAGCCGAACATCACAGTTGGCCCGTGACACACAGTACTACCTAATCCTATGCATAGCATGAGTCCGCGTTTGCCTTTGCTATCCGTATTCCCCTTCACTATTACCACTTACGTGGTAGTAGTACCTTACCACCGCTTACATCGCCGTCGCTTTCAACAGGAGGAGTTGACCTCACAACTTCAAGAACCCTTCCAACTCCGACTAACTAACATAACTAAACCACGGTTTCTAAAGCTGGGTCTACTATCGATAAGCTTTTTTTTCAACAGGGCTGCTACAGATATGTCTCGCATACCTACTGCACGCTATACGTCCGATGCACAATCCGATTTTCCTATTACTAGATAGCATCGCTTAAGCACACCTCTTCTTGCTAATGCGGCCTTAATGCTACTTACCTTTCTTGCTACGTACGAAGCTGTAAAGCGCGTTTGCAACGATCACGCTTTGAACCGTGGGTATGCTATCGGTTCTTGCAGACAGCCGTGGTTTGAAGAAACTCAATGAAAAAGGGAAGAGTACTGCAGTCTCTAGCCGTGATATGATAGATGGGAAATGCTTACTAAGGAGAGGAACAAAGGGAAAGATTGGTGCTAGAAGTACCGACAGCGAGGTTGAGTTAAGAATAGTAATAGATTATGGAGTTAAGAGATTCAAGTTCACATACGGAAAAGGCGTTTTTCTCTTCCTCCGATTATCGGACGTGAAGGTATTTTCACTTCGATTTTTTTTTTAAAAAAAACCCCTGTTACTGTACTATTGTTTTAATCGCTCCTCCTACTACTACTAGTATGTACGCAGTACTAGTACGAGTATCCCTCTCAGCATCTGATGGGGGTGGGGGGGTAAAAGTCAAAATCTAATAATAAATACACTAATATAGAAAAGGAAGCGAAGTCGAAGAAGAGAAGAGCAAAAAGAAGAACATTATTCCTCGACGGACTCCTGGGAAGGAGCTTGGTGGAAGGTGGAAAGCTCTGGACGGGGATGGAAGTCGGAGAGCAAAAGCCAAGACTCAAAGTCAAATGATCCGTACGTACTACTGAGTACCCGGATATACTTACTGTAGAAAAGGAAAGAAAAAGAAGAAGGAAACCAGAAAAGAGCCTTCAAGGTGGAAAGTTTCGCATGGCATGGCATGGCATGCCCCCCGCTCCCGGCCTTGAATTCTCCGTGTGCAGGTAGGCAGAAAGGTACGTAAAAGTTTAAGCTCCAAATTCGGAAATTAAAAGAATTCAAAGTCTGAAGGCAGCACGTGGATCACGGGGGACGGGAGACAGGGACGGACCAGAGATCACTGAAGAAACATACTAGTAACATACTAGTAAGGTGAGAAGAGGAGGAAAGTACAAGCAGAGTTTCTCTCAAGTCCGTACAGGGACGAAGTAACTAGTCCTGGCACTTTTTTCCCCATGTTTTTTCCACTTCTCTGTCTCGCTGTTACCTTTCGGAGAAACGTGATCGATTCACCCATCAATTGTTTTTTTCGCTCCTCTATCCATCCCATTCATCTATCCAATTAATTCATCAATAGAAAATAAAGAATCAATGTCATTGGTATATCAATACCATCCATATCCCACCATCCACCTAATGAGTCACTCAAAAAATCATCAATGTACAATTTCTTGATTAGCTAAGCTCTCAGTCTCTCTCTCGCCCTCTCTCACATGACCTGAAAAATCAAAGGTGAGTAAGCAAGTGATAAAACCTTTCCTTCGGCATCGCCATATTTCGTTATCGTAACGCTATCGCTCTGAGATCCGATCCATCCAACCATGCTCCTCCCTCTTCTTCGTCTGACAATAGTCTGGGTTGGGCTTTCACATGTACTACGTACATCAATCTCGCTTCGTGAAACGTGCCCGTTTCTTCTGTCGTCACCAATAATCTCGAAACGTGCCCGTCTCCCTCTCCCCTCCAATACGTTATCTCTCATATACGCCACGAGCGGACGGTTACTCTCGGCGGAAAAAAAAAATAAAAAAACAAGGAAAAAAGAAAAAAAAAGATGAATAGACGATCCATCGAGACGAGGGGCGTGATCTGCCAAGCGCCACGGCTCCTTGGTATGATCCTCTCGGCGCAACTCAAAACTCTGTCTCAACATCATTCACCCCCCGACGACCTCAGCCTCCTCGCGAACGAAACAAACAATACACCATGGGAGAGACATGCATCGAGGGCCCCTATCGCCATCGGGATGGATGATGGGGGATGTACACCATGGATCGGGCGCTATCCTACGTAGTTGTAGATCTACCCGTAATACAGTCAGTACCGAGTCCATCCTCGCACAATACAACACACACTAGCACTTCTGTCTCTTGGCGATACAATTCACAGGCTTACCCTGACTGACGTTGACAAGATCCAAGCGCGATGCTCAGATTCTTCCTTCTCACTGAGGAGCGATCAACGCCTCATGGCCCTTCTCGCCTGCGATCGTACTTTGAAAGGGGATCACTTCTCTGAATAGGGGCGTAACGTCCCTTGGAGCACATTGTTGCATTCCTGCGCGCCCTTACCCGAAGGGATTCGGCTACGTGCTGCGCCTCTGACCCGTCTCCTCCGTCAGTATGATTGACTGCCCAGGCGAGCTTGTATGCGATGGCCTATGGCAAGTCAACTGCCATTCCACGATCAGGTTTTGAGGACGCACAACTTATTGGGAAGGTCCTTTTATGTAGTGTTACATACATACACTCGAATGCCACGGCCCGCAGTGGCTCTAGGGAGAGATTCGGCTTCACTTGTGCCGAGAGATGTTGTGGAAGCTCGAATCGGCCATCGGCGCCGGGTCATGGAAATGTCGACCATGGTATCCAGATCTTTTGCGGGGGGCTTCCTTTTGCTTCTTGCTGAAGCCATGTCTCGTGGGCCGTGATTCGTACCCAACCAAGCCCGAACTGCGGAAAAGCCGGCTCACGATCAGGACGTGGGATCAACGTTATCCTTGCAAGCAGCAAACATGGACAGATCTGAGCCCGGATATCTTCCGGGAGAGTGTAACTTGGGGAGTTCATCTTCACAGGCGAGTCCAATGGGGGCTTATCATTAGGCGAGACTGACCAGAGAGATCAATTCTACAGAGTAGTACCTAGTACTTTTGGTCAGAGGCCTATATCAGACAGTCCAGCTGTCTGGTCGAAGCCAACATGGAACCCCTTGCACTGTGAAATCGTGGGGTAGGCCAAGTTCTAATCTCGGATGCAACCGAGTGAGTTGGAGTCCTGAGCCCTGGAGTCCTGGAGCTGGAGTCACGTCACAGCCGCCTCACAGGCAAAGCAATGAGATAAGATAGAGGTACCAAACACCTTTCTCTCTCTGCTGCAGCGGCAGAGGCAGCGGCGGCCTTGGCGAGAGAAGCCGGGCCAGCCTGCAAGACTTCACTTCGCCTGGTCATGACTCTATCAATTGACGCGGCGCGATTAAGCAATGCCACACCCCTACAGATGATCTCCATAGGGTGTGGAGCCTGCCAAGATCCTCACTAGGCAACAAGATAACAATCTCTTGGCCGTCACCTCTCGGGCACCCTTGGCACCCTCGGCATTCTTGGCCCAGATCGACGATGATTGGCCAGGCTTGGGTTTGGCCCTGCATCGATCCTTTCTTGGCTTTCGGCGTTCCCCCCTCCGACCCTCCAACCCTCCTCGTCTCCCCCTCCGGCTCTCTCTCCAAACCCTCCAAGGTCCAACTCTTCGTTCGACCCTTCGACCCGTCAACCCGTCGACCCTTCACCCTCAGGATTCTTCCTTATCCCACGCCCCACGTCACCCCGCGTCCAACTAGCCAGACAGGCAAGCTCCCAGCGCAATTCGCCCAATCGGGCTCGATCGGCGCGGTACTTGGGCGCCAACATGATACTCCCGATCATGACCGTGGCCGTGTGCCAGGATGAAGGAGCGACGCTGGGAACTTTCAAGACTTCCAAGTTACTACTACTTAGTAGTACAAGTTACCAGCCTGGTGTAACTCAGTCCGAACTAAACAGGTAGGTAGGTAACTTTGGTGACGGACAGAAGCTCTGGGCAGGTCAAGCGAAGTACTAGTAAGTAGTAAGTGCAAGTCGCTCCTTGGGTCGGCCTATCATCTACCCGCCTTCGGCTCCACATCTGACTATCAGATTGCTCCGCAGTCTAGCGTGCTCGAGCTCATAGCCGGCCCCTTCGATATATTACCCTCCCTACCCCGTCCCCTACGAGTCAATTGCAGAATCCAGACTCCAGCATCGGTCCCGACCCCCCAAAGTCAAAGCAAAACAGAACGACGATCAGATTCTTCCAAACTCGATCATCATTACGTCCGTCCCATTTCTCAAAACATGACGGGCGCTTTCAGCTCCATCGATACCAGACGGTGTCGTCACTATGCCAGATTCTTCCAGAATCTGTCCTTGAAAGAGGCAAACGCCATCTTCTGGCTGCTTTTCTCCTTTGTAAGTACTACAACATATCGAGTCGCGTCGCGTCCGATACGGGACCCGGATATCCGTGCGGCTGTCCAAGAGCCTACAGCTGACGATGCAATAGGTACTGATATTGATGTGTTGCGCTTCACTACAGCATCACAAGTAAGCAGAGCTCCGTCAGAAGCCGTCCGATCCAATCCTTCCATGACTTCACGATACTGATGATGATGTACGTAACAGGTCAATAGCACTCACGGAGCGAGACAAACTACTACCGAAGGAAGTAGTGGAATCCCAGGAGCACAAGATCAAGAATCGCCGCACGCGGATCAAATGCCTCATGTGGGCTTCCCTCTGCCTTGCCCTCTCCGCCAGCGCCACAGTACTCGAGTGCTTCGCCGCCTTCAACATCCAGTACTGCGATGGCGAAGACCTGATGCAACTCTACTGGGGTTTCTGGTCCGTCCTCCAGGTCGGCTCGAACATCGCCATCTTGGGTGTCATGGTGCAATTCTGGATCGTGCTCGGCGACGTCGAGACGCCGAGCTGGGCCGTGGCACTGGGAACACCCATCCTGGTCTTCGCGGCACTGGGCTTCGTGTTCCGGGCCATCTGGATAGACTTCTTGCAGAAGCTGGGTAGGAAGCGCAAGCAAGCAGCACCGGATGAGGAGAGAGGAGAGTCGCGAGACGGAGATGACAGCGATGGAGAGGAAGATGAAAAGCAGGTCAGAATCAATCGATCCATAAGTGCTGCGTAAGTCACCAGTTTCCTGATCCCCACGGTGTAGGTAGTCACAAGTCACACGCTAAGCATTCCCGATCCGTCCAGTCCTACCGTGGTTAACGATACCACCGAAGACGTCATCTCGGCGCGCCCGGCTGCAACACAACCTCGACCTGCGCCCACCCCTCGCGGTACCACGGTCTGGTCCCGGGACTTGCAGTACCTCCTCGGCTCCGTTGTCCACGATCGCTCGGAAGACCACCCAGTGGTATCGCAAGAACTTCACATCTATCATCACCGCGACGCCTCGGGACGCAGTAGATCCCATGGCGGCGGCCGGATAGGCTCCCGGGTACAGATTGTGACGCCCAACCCTAGAAGCTCACAATAATCCTCCGCACCTGCCGGGCGGGAAGATTATTTTGTTACTGGGGGCGGGATTCGTTTAAATTCTAAACCTTTTGGAAGGTTCTCGTAGGGAAAATCTAGCGGGCGTTAGTGAGGAAGATTTGGGGCGACGCTTCTGGCAGTTGATATCCTCAAGGCGATAAGTTAAAATTTAGACGGACAAATAGACAGATAGACAGATCGCGCGATCGCTCGAAGCTCACAATATACCATGATTCACTCTTCACTTTTAATCAAGTCGCAGGTCGGGACTGGTATTGGTAGTGGTATATACAAGGGGATGCTGGCTCGCCCTCACACTCTTCGATATTCATCAGATTCGTTTTCCCTTTCGCGACCTTCTCTCTACAGGGGGCAGAAGTAATAGCCAGAAACAAGTACTGAACCTCGTCCATCCGTGCACGCTTCTATTACGTAATCATCAAGGTGGGCAAGGACGGCCAGGAATACCACACCCTATCACATCCAAGCACAGTGAACACGAAGTACTACTACTAGTAATTGAATATAAGAAAAAAAATGCTATTGATGGTGAGTAATCGTTACCTTGTATATATATGCTTTTGTGACGTGAGTTTTTAAAAACGCGTTTTTGGTTTGTTTTTTTCTACTTCGTATCACACCACCTCTTTCTTTATGTTGTGAAGTGCTTACTTTTTTTGGAAATTTTGGAGGGGGAGAGAGGGAGAGAGAGGAGGGGGGGGGGGGTAGTTTTTTTTTTCCGGTCTGCGTACGGTACCTCCCTCTCTCTCTCCGTATGGAGGAGTATATCGATAGGTACCTACCTAGGTAGGTAGCTAAGTTCGGGCAGGATGTCTGAGAAGAGAGCGCACGAGCCCAGGCCTCTCGTATCCGCTCCACGCACGTGCTCGCATTTCCGTGGCAGTACGTAAAGGAAGTAAAGCCTTCCTTGTTTGGCTAGCAGCAGCTGGGACGTCGGACAAGGGGACATGAGGAAAACCTACCTAGTAGTACCACCAGAAGAAGAAGGAAAAAGAAGGAAAAAGAGGAGTCGCGCAACCTACGTGCCTAGTACGTAGTACTAAGTACGTAGTACTAGCTGTAACTTTTCCTTTCTAGAATCAGGTAAGTAGGTACTACGTACGTAGTAGTACTACTAATTAGTAGTAGTAAGTAGTAGTTTTAGATTTGTTGTTGGACAGACCTTGTTTCGCGGAAACCTTGAGAGAGAGAACGTGTGATTCGATCTGAGCCGAACCAAAACGTGTGCCTCCGGACTCCACAAAGTTCTTGATGTGGAGAGGGCAGCGAGAACAGGGAGGTGGTGTCGCATCGTGTCGTCTTGGAGACGGTCGAGGTCGCTGCCTACTATTTTTTCACGCGCGTTCTGTTCTTACTTGTAGTAGGTCCCTACATGCAAACGTCTCATCGATAGATAAAATTTTATCGATCTTGTTGAGTACTATTATTGATTTTCTTACTACCCATGTTAACTCTATATCGTTGCACTTTACTCACGGTATGATTATTGAAAGCGCCATCTGCTCCGTAGGGACCACACGGTACAGGCGTAAGTACGTAGTAATTGTTACCTCCCCCCTTGAGGGCGCCTCACAAAATTTCAGTTTCCACTTTAAACCCCCCTGGTTCCCCGACCCTCAGGGGGTAGGTAATAGTACTCCCGCCTGGGGCGTAGAATAATAATTAAAAAACCACTCGCCGGAACAATCGATTCTAGAAAACGTGGATGATTATGGACCGCAACAACGCAGCGTCTTGTAAGCAAAACTAGGTAGTGAGAACATTCCCGTCCCGCTTAACCGAGTGCCATTCTCTTACTGATCTCATAGCGTTGCATCATGTGATTGATTACTAGAGCGCAATCTGCTACGCACCTTAGGCATAGTTTTTTACAAAAAAAATCACCCGCTGCAATAACCGATTCGAGAAACGTGAATAATTCAAGAACGCAACAACGTGACGTTTTTCAAAAGAAATCAATCAACCAGACGAATCTTTCTTCAGCTTTCTCAACTAGAATATCTTATTTTTTTTAAAAAAAAAAAGTTTTAGCGCTGTAAAGCTGGGTTGCATGGTTACCAAAAGCGCCATCTAATAGCTACCCATCCAAACCAGCTCACCATGGTAACAAACAGCTCAAACAAGCACCACCCACTACCGACTATCATTATTAAATTTCGCGCTCTGCCAAAACCTGAACATTTCCACGCAGCAGAAAGTGACCGCTTTTCGGTTCTCGTGGCCCGTGCACCCTGTACTTTCTCAAAGTCGCCCGTCCTATCCCCTCGCCCTTAAGAAAAAAGGCCTAATTATCATCAAAGAGAGTAAGGGGGCTGCTCGAGCCTCGTTCTGGTCCAAGTCTAAGTCCAACTCCAGTCATCTTGTACAAGATGCACAAAACTAACTAACTGGCTTATAAGTTATTTTGAAAAAAAAAAAATTAAAATTAAAAATTGGGGGGTTTGTGTTGTTCAAAACTTGCACTTCCGTTCTTATGTACGGTGTGGAGTAAGGACTCTGTACGGTTTTGTTTTTATTTGTTTTTGTTTTTGTTTTTG